TTAATAATAGTGAAAATATATTTGTCATAGATGAGAATATAATAAATAATCTACATACATAGAATATAATAAATATCCTACATACATAGATAGATTAAGTAGACTTTCCACAAGTTGATCTGGAATTTAGCAACTTTTGTGGGCTCTCTGATAAATGGTTAACTTTTGCTTATATCTGCAAATTAAATCACTAATTCGCGAAGAGCAAGAATTATTGTTTTATTCTCAAAAAGTATGAAAACTTTAAATTGAGGCTGCCTGTGAATAATTAATTGGTCTGTCAACTCTCTCATTTTCAAAATCTAAAGTCCTCTGACTCTGACTACTCTATAAACAGAGGGTATCCAAATAACAAACAACAAATAACAAAACAAAAAACAAAAATAATACCAAAATCAGAGCAATCACATTGCTGGGTGGCTGAGATTGAAGAGAAAGTTTTGCATTTAGGCAGCAACCTGTGGAGGAAGTAAGCCATGTTTTAGCATTAATATGCCAAAGGCCAAACAACATGAGCCGCATTTGTCAAAAGCGCTCCCAGGCGACCTCTGACTGAGCTGCACTGCATAACTCTGATGCCGTACTTTTGGTCAATCAAAAAAGTTTTCATGTTGATGAGTCGCATAAACTCAGTGTAGGTGTGTCTGCGTCTGTGTATGTTTGTGTGTGTATTGGGGTATCTGGCATTCTCTACCCCACTCTGAAAACAATATTTCTATGGTAGCCGCCGATGCCGAGCGAGGAACAAAGCCATGCAAAACGATTTGCTCAGATGAAAAATGAAAATCTATTTGTAAAACGTTGTTTCTCTTTGGCTATGGGGCTCACAAATATACTTTGCGCGTAAGTAATGCATCGGGTATATAGGTGGTATATTTGGTATATTTATAAATTGTTAGCTAGATAACTCAAAGGTGGGCCAAAGTTTTTGGCTGAAAGTTAAGCTGGGAGAGTGCCTGAGGAAAGCCGATTTAAAGATTCAGATATATATAAAACTCTTGTGATAAAAACTTTCGGCAGAACAGCGTCTTAATCTGGTTGACTCGGATGAGTTTCCTCAAAAAAAAATAATAAAAATAAA